AACTGGTAAGAATAGATATAGTATTTTTGTGAAAGGAATAATATTCGTGCTAATGGGACTGAGGTTGGAAATGACAATTGAAGACCAGCCCTCCCCGTCACCTTTGTGCCACATTTCTGTATTTTTACAAAAATATTATAAATGTGTTGTCTGAATTTCTGAGATAATGAGTTATCATTATTTACACTACTTATATTCGGACTATTGTCTTCATCTTTATTGTTGTTGCCACAATGTTTCGGACGCTGTGTCCCCCAGACATCTTCAGGTGTGTATCTATCTGGGTAAACCTGCAGGGATTTAATCTACATAGATTAAATAAAAGGTTCAGTTCAGAATTGCCTTTAGGTTACCCATATTGATATTGTAGCGGAATGTTCACCATTATGTAGGGGTGTGTACTACATATATTTATCTTTTGACTATGAAAGGCGTGATTAAGGAAAGCAAAGACGCTGGAGGTTACTATCCAATGTGGCGTACACAATGCAATTTATATTTGACGTAAAATAGCACAGAGTATAAAATACAAAACCGAATGTAATGATTCAAAACATAACAATTGAATTTATTAGTGTTTGGTGTATATGCATATAAACTGAAGGTTTGATAGAGTTATGTCTCTTAGATTTGAAAATATTTGTACTTGACCTCATAAAGTATTAAACTGTAGTTTAGAAGAATAAGTTCCTGTTGCATGTTAGGAAATGTGAATTGGATAAAGTTGGTATGAGTTCTGAAGAGATTTTAGAGTTCGTACTTGCGTGAAATGGTAATGTTCTTTAACGTCTGACCGCATGGTCAAGACGAGAGTTTTTGAAGGTCACATTTTAGCAGCAAAGGTTTGAGACGCAAAAGTGACGAAAAAGAGAGAGAGAGAACCACTCGTATTTTGTTTATATAAGATCGTGTATCACGTGACCGGCTCAGAGCATATTGAGCGGGAAAACAGATTTGTCGCGTGAAGGCGGTCTGATTGGTCGGAAATGACCAATCAGCGAGCTAATTTTGAGTAGATTAACCAATGAATGCTTGTCGCATGATTTCTATGTATCGTGTATATGTAATGGTGGTGGTAGTTACCACAATATATACCTAAGTATGGGCGGAGGAAACAACGGCCAAAATATTGTGATAGCAACAACAAAGATGAGGACAATAGTCCGAATATAAACAGTAAAAACAATAATAAATTTGTATTTGAACTGGGCTTTGATGTTCTAAAGTTTGCGGCGAAAAAAAATCGTCATTTTTTCCTAACATGATTCTTTACTCAAATAGGTAGGTAGATAGATAGATAGATAGATAGATGGAGAGAGAGAGAGAGAGAAAGAGAAAGAGAGAGAGAGAGAGATAATATGATTATCCGATTCAATTTAATCAGCTTTCAGTATGTTTATTCATTTATTTCTAAAGAAATTACTAGATGGTTTGCATTGTGGTGAAGGGAGAAATCGTTAAAGCTAAGCATTGTGAATTGTCCACACATGGCTTTGCCAGTTCGCCATGACGTCGTTAGGTGGAGCTGTTAAACAGCAATAATAACGGGCCACTTTCCCGTCTTCTCTCTATTTTCCTACGGGCATGCTGCGGTGGCACCAACCGGGACTGTTCCCGGGTATGGGGATATCTTTCCCTTTAATGATTGAACTTTCATGCGTACGCGTGTATCACCCTTTATAAATCCTAACTTGTAAGGTCTTCTTTCATTTGCATGCATATTAGTGAATTTTCTCTCTTTTGTTATTCAGTTATATAAAAATCAAAATATAAAATATTATAAAAAATTTATTCCTACCAAATCCAAGTTCCTGTGCCAGACACAAAATCTTAGTAGAAATAGCAAATCATATTAGTAGGTGTAAAATTACAAAACAAGACAACCACTGAGTAAAATTTTAAAGGGAAAAATACATTTATTTACACAATTTCCAAAAAAAGTACAAATACAAAATTTGCACAAAAATTTCCTTTTGTGCTCCTATTAAGGCAGGATAGTACTTTCAGATGGAAAGGATTACCAGCAAAAAAAATGGAAAAAAATTACAGTTTGGGAAAAGACAAGGATTTTGAAAATGATAAAAAGAAAACAATACAAGAAGACAGTGAAAAAAAAAAAAAAAAAAAAAAAAAAAACAAAATGCAAAATCAAAAAAAAAAAAAAAAAAAACAGATGCCAACAGTCTTTGAAAAAAAAAAAAAAAAATGAAACGACCTGCTTTCACTTTCACTTTCCCCACAAGCGTCTATGGGTCATAGTTATTAATGTTAGAAAAGTCACCTTTAACTTCGCACAATTCGTACTCGGGAAAATTTCTTAGAATTCATCCTGCGTTCTAGTGGTATTATCGTCTTGCTTACGGTGAAATGATTAAAAAAAAAAAAATTAAAACAGCGAGTAGCGATTTCTTGCTTTCATTTAAGAAAAGCGCTTCCATTTTGGTGGTACCTAATACCGTATATGCTCGTGTTTCAGTCGATTTCATGTATTTGAATTTCTGAATTTTATGGCATTAATTTTTAACCCTTCCAGAATGATTTATAGTTTATACTAGGTACATCCACCCCAGTTTCGATACCTAAGTTTTAAAATGAATTTTTTAAAAATGAAAAAGCATTCTTGAAGCTTTCATTAAAATGGAAGCTTCAAGAATGCTTTAATTGGAAGCTAAATGATTAAATTTACTATTTCCAGTAAGCAAAATACTGATGGATTTTAAATAGAAATTATATTGATTTAGAATCTCCGCTTCATGATCGCTTTCAGAAAATCAATAAATATCGGCAATTTCTGACACATTTGCAAACAAAAGTTAATCCTCGGTTTTAAAAATCTTCCAAAAATAAAATATACTTTTCTGACACTTTATTTTAGGAATATTAGCTGATTTAAAGTATAATTAATCTGATTTGAAAAAAATATTATTTACTTAAAACGTTACTTTAAAGTGATAGAGAAATAGATTTTTAAAACAAACAGTAGCGGTGATTACGCGCTTATCACCGTCGCTTGTCACTCGTAGATCATTTAACAAGTGATGATAAAAAGCTGTCAACAGCATTACTGTTATTCTACGCAGACTTTATCTGTTAAAACATAATTTAAGAAAATGACAGATGAGCGCATTTTTTAAATATAATTTTTAAGTACTCAGTAATAAACAATTACGATAAAGTTTTGTTTTCGTCAAGTTTGGCGTCTTTTTCATCTTGCCATGCTCTTTTTTTAGCGATCTCATGGAGGTACTTACTTAAAAATGTTGAAAAATATTCTCCGTAATCTAATTTTAGGAATGTTGAATTTAAATTTACTATATAGTAATCGCTCTTAATTTCTGATTTTGTCGTGTACGGTGGACCATAATTTCAAACAGAGGCAAGTTAAGTAATATTTTCTATACATAAAAAAAATTAAGTTTTAAAAAATAATGAGTGCAAATGATTTTTATTGAGCTTTTCAGTTTTTGATTTGTAAATACAGTTTTACTTTTCACATAATAATATCATCTGAGCGGATTGTAGTAATGCAGAATTTTAAACGATTATAAATTAATTAAAATTTAAAAATATGAAAACAATTCTTGTAAAAATTCATTATTCATCGAAAAATTTTTTCTTAAGACAATAGTGCCCTTAATAAATCTTATTTATAAAAATGCAATTAAAAGCTTTCTTAATTAAATAATGTCATAGTTTTTATTGCATTTTTTTTTTATTTTATGATTCAGAGCAGATTTTTGAGGTCCTGTTTTACAAAAAGGAAAAAGTAAATAAGAAAAAACAAAACAAAAAAACTGATGACTTAAATTCTCCAAGGAGTCATACTTTTAACTAATAAAACAAACTTTGTGACCTCAATTTAATTTCTCGAAATTTCATGAAATTAAGGAGTGGAGGTAACATGTAAAAAAAAAAAATATCTTTTACCAAGATTTTCTAAAAAAAAAAAATTAAAAAGTAATTTCATTTATTTGTCAATCATCAATAAGTCTTGAAAGTTTCATTAGAATCCGACAATTTGATTTTTGCAAGAATTTCCAAATCAATGTGTTTTTCACGTGAAAAAAAAAGCCCCCCCAAAAAACACTAATCGTAAAAAATTAAAAATACGTTGACCGCTGACGTAAAAAAGACAAGATTTTTAATGAAAATTTCGAACGAGATAGAAAGGATTAAAAAATTAAATAAGAAAAATAATTTTAAAAAATACCTCGCTTGATCTGTCCTCTTAAAACGAATTTTTTGTTTGACGATAATATTTGGGACCTTTTTATGCCGTTTATTCAGCCAGCAGATGGAGAGTCAGTGCAAATGGTCACCGACAAATGCATGAGTTTTATTTTACTTTTTTTAACCTCTTCAAAAAATTACCTGTGTATAATGCGACCCCATATTTCTAGCGTAAAACAAAAAACAAAACTGATAATAAAAAGAAAAACTCACACTATAATACTCGAGTATACGGTGTTCGTAATTCTTTGAATATTTCGAGAGGAGTCGACACTGATATTTTCCTGTCTATTTTAGAAACTAAAAAAAGCAAAAAAACAAAAAAAAAACATTCTTTCGTAAATGCCGGAATCAAAAGATCACGTGACAGTTGTTGGAGACCCTTTTTTTTTTTTTTTTTTTTATCAAACTAATTTCGATCGAGAAAATTAAATTAACCGAAGAACGTGGCTCCGTTTACTTTTACTTTTTAAGAGTTTGTCTTTCTACGTGCAAAAACGCACGCTTGCCAACTGATTGCTAAACTAGGTCATCGTGTGTGTGAGGAGTGAGAGAGAGAGAGAGAGAGAGAGAGAGAGAGAGAGATAGAAGGAGCGTGTGTGTGTTGTCAGAGAAACGCTTCTGGAAACACTTTTCTGTTCAGCCAGTATTTTCCGGCACGCACCGGCCACTGCGAGAAATTTAAAAATAGAATCGTAGCTGATAGAATAACCTTGCAGTAACGCTCTAAAATACAATCAGCTCTATTATGTCTATATTTAATTTATTAGTATATCTATTTTATATACGTTTTCTTTCTATCTATCTATCTATCTATCTATCTATCTATCTATCTTTCTTTCTTTCTTTCTTTCTTTCTTTCTTCTCTTCGTTAAGCAACAATAATAAATACACATATGTAGCGGCCTCTCACCCTCTTAAAGAATCAGTTTAAAAAAAGTGTGTGTCAAGAGAGAAAGTGAACGAGTCAAGGACAGAATATTATTTTTCCTGGTTGTCTGTTTCTTGTACTTTTCCAGGAAGAGATATTGTCCAAGTCGCTAAAAGAAACAACTTAGGCGGATCACAAAATATCAACATTTTATTTAACATTTCTTGGTTTTAGCGTAGCAGCGGCAAAATACATGTAAGAAAAACGGCTAAAAAAAACTGTGGGAAGGAAGCTTTTATTTTAGCTTGAAAGGGTGCTGAAAAGTTTTCGGTGGGATCAAGAAGCCCTTCTAGAATAAATAAATAAATAAGTATTTAATAATTGGATCGGGATCATTACTGTTAATTCACGACAGAATATTAACTCAGCCCAAAATAAAAAGAATTTATTTACTAAAATTCACAACAAACTCTTCTTCCATTACTTTACACTCTGGTTGGATTGACCTTTGCGATCGCCCCAAACGTGGGCAACTCGGGTGCGTTATTTCTAAATGTGGGGTGCGCATTCACGCTCACCCCGATAAACACCACGCCCAAAACAGATTATTTTTCTTTTCTTTTTTTTTTTTAATTGGCAAATATTACTTGTAAGTACCTCGAATATCATCCGTACATACGAAATATGAAGAACTCTCTGACTTTTGGTAACTTTTTATTCTGAGGGTTGCAGTCATTGCGAGGCAACTTGAACAAATTTTGATTTAAAATTTATAATTTCAAAAGAGTGCTAGAAATCTAATAAAAAGCAAACAAACCTTGATTTAAAATTTATAATTTCTTGGGGTGAATTAATATTTGCAATAAGTAACTTTACATTATTTGGGGTGAATTAACAGAAAAGATCCTTGAATCATTTGGTAATTACTTGTGGAAATTGATTTTTAAGTACATAAAAGAAAAGATCTATTAGAATTTAATTTGAGAACTACTAAATGAATGTTTTACAAGTTCACGTTCTAGCCTTTTTTTCAATCTTTACTCCGACTCTAACCCCTGCTTCCAAAACCGCCTCCTAAAGCCTTGATCCTTATCAGAGATAAGAATATATTTTCTGGCTAGCTAGAGGGATGGGAAATATAAAAAGGAATTTGACCATACATACCTTGACTATGGTGCCATAAAATTGGAGGTTAATGCTCACAACTTGTCGGACTCTTGCTTCTAAAACCAGCTCCCAAAACTTTGATTCTTATCAGAGATAAGAATATATTTTCTGACGAATGAAAAGGTCGGGAAAATACATAGAAATTTTGGAGGGAATAGTTCCCGATATTTCTGAGCCTTCTCATCTCGATAAATAGGGAGAATATGCGCCTCTTTGGCAGTAAAGTGTTTGTCATCGTCCGTGATAGCCATAGGTCAGTGACAATAGCACCAGTCATCTTCGAAACCTGTTTCAAGGAAGAAATCTACATGCTGGGCAGAACATCGGACATCTATTAAAACTTAATCGAGATCTGCTTACTAGGACCTTGAAATTCCTGTCGCTGGCCTTTACTACGAACTCACTCAACTTCAAACTACGGATCTTCCGATTGTTTTCCCCTCAACAAAAGCTCTACAGAAATCTTATGTGAGTGTTAACCCCTTAAGAACTATTTACTTGCTTAAAGCACTTTTAGGCGCTAAGAGAAATATTTTGAGTAAAGGTTTTATTATGAACAGTTTTCTTTTTTCCTTTAAGTTAAAGGACTTTTCTTCTCCCTTTTGTTCCCTAGTATTTTGTATATATCCCTTTACCTTTTTTCATGTATGTAAATAAACATTTTCTTCTATTGTTACACACCAAGCAGGGGTTTGAGTCTTTATACTTCCGCCAAAGAGAAAATAGTACGTTCTAAACTTTCAAGCCGTTGTTGCTTTTATCGATTCTGTTAGTTACATTTAACCTTAACCCTTTCATGTGTGAAGGCCGGGACAAATTTCCCACAAGTCTTAATTTTAAAATAATGCTTATATTATGTAACGCCAATCACCTTAATGCCATTTTTTTTAGACCAAACCGATTTTATTGATGAATTTTTTTTGATTTTTTAAAATAAAATAAACTTTAAAATTTGTTTTCCAGCGCATTAACTGAAAATTTCAAAGATCTCTTTTTTAATTTTCGAAGTTGCAAAAATTGCCCCACCTCCAAATGTCCTATGCCCAATTCAACTGGGTCAGTCTACTTCCCAAATCATATTATAATTCTGTTTGTTCCTCAGTTAGCAAGTTAGAACGGGCGTAGCGTAGCGCCCTACCATTCTTCTATGTGCCGTGTCTCTTCTGGAGGTCGGCGATCATGGCTCTCCACAACTTCCTATCCCACGTGGCCTTTAGCAGCATTTTTTCCTTTGCCACGCTTTTTGCCATCCATTCGCACAAGCTCGTCAAGTAGGTGCCCCCCTGTCTTCCTCTATCACACTTGACCTCGATTTGTCCCGTGAGGATTGTTTTTCAAGCCCTCATTACATGTCCGAGATATTTCAACTGTCTACTTCTGATTCTGAGTATAAGTATCTTTTTAGCTTCCAATTCTTCATTGCTAATATACTCTTTGCATGGAATTCTCAATATCCTTCAGTAAAGCCAAATTGTATTGATTTCTCTTCATCTTTTAGGAGTTTGTGCAGCTTTCACTTCCATTTAGAAGGATTGATATCACCTAGCAATTCAGAAATAGTTTCTTTACACAATTTACATCACTCGGACTGTTGCCCTCATCTTTGTTGTCATATTCACGACGTTTCGACCGCTGTATGCTCAGGCCGTCTTCAGTTAATATAAGTTGGATTTCCACTGGGGTAGACTGTTCTAGTTCCACATGCCATGCCCTGTCTGGATATCTCAATTTTCAGTTAATTCCCTTTAGCACTTCAATTCGCCAAGGGTTTCTTTTTTTTTTTTCACCTCTGCTGTGGCCAGGTATTGAACTCACAACTATTTGGGCCAAATCACTTTAGGATTACTTCAACCAACGCTTTTATCCACTATTTACGATGTAGCTAGTGTAAGTAGTTATAATACAGTTGATGAAGGCCGGCGGGCACAACGACCGAAACGTTGAGATAACAACAATAAAGATAGGGACAATAATCCGCATGTAAATAATGAAAACAATGATAATTCCTCATCCCAGAAATTCAGAAAAAATAGTCTTTATTCATCAAATGTTGAATTTAATATTTTTATTGTCCTCCCTTGTATTGAGGATTTATGTTCGGATATTATCCTTTTTATAACCTTAAATTACCTTACTTTACCCTCGCCTCGCGCCATATTTGTTTTTCTTAAAATTTGGCAGGGAGCATCGTAACTATATTCAATATTAAACATTATTTTTTAAGATTGATTGACTTAAAAGGTAACTGCCTCGTAGATAAAAAAAAAACGAAAGTTTATTAAATAGATAATGATCATATAAACTTGTGTCCAATTCAACTAGACGATGAGTTTATATTTCAAAATAAGGAACGAATTAAACTTAATTAATTCCAACATAATGAATAATTTAACTTTATAACTGGTGTTGTTATTGGAAACTTGATTTCACCACTAGTTAATACTGAGTGCGGCAGAAATACCTTTTACATATACCTCCCAGAAACACCTTCCACATAATAAGACGTTAGCTAGATGAAGACATCATTGCCACTAAATGTCATCATTATGTGGGAGGTATTTCTAAGAGGTATATACGGGAGATATTTCTAAGAGGTACAGGAGGTGTTTCTGATGCAGTCTGTATTTAAACTAGAGCGCTCTCATTTTCTGCAGTATGTGTCTCGATTAATCGATAACATGAAAAGTAAACGTCTCGGTACCCCCACCGGTCTGAGGGTCGCATATCGATCTTAATGATCAACCTCGTCGATTTCTTTCTGTTTAAGAACTTTTTGGAAGTTTCGTACACATACAACTACTTAGTCTTGTGAATTTAAATACTTGTGGTAATTTAAAATTACTAATTTCAGTTAATTGCTGGCTATCAATTAACTGCTCACAAAAAAAAAAAACAAAAACAAAAAAAAAACACAAAATATCAACAAACCAGGCTCGTTACATTTATCACCATGAACGTTAAATATTTGACTGTGTTTCGGAAAAATTTTTAAATTTCTTATACACTTAAGTTTCTTTACTTAACCCTCACCATCTCTCGCCATATTTGTTTTTCTTAACATTTAACGGGAGGCGTTGTGTGAATTTAATATTACTAATTTCAGGTAGCTGTTAGAAATCATTTTGATATGGATTGTTTATCGCCACTTTCATTTTTTGTCTGAATTTCTGGGGTGAGGAGTTTACATCATTTACATGGATTACAGGCGGAAAGCAAATTGAACATAAAACAGGCTACGCTACAGCTAGTTTCGCCCAACACCTCCAGTTGCTACAAAACCAAAACATTATGTTCTTAAATGGCCTCATTAGATCAAGACATTCATATGGATGTTTTGCATGGCACCAAACACGTTGAGAAATATCTAAACTGTCAATTGTATACACCGCTTTCTCAGATCTTTCTCAGATCAATTTTTATAGTTTTTAGATCCATTTATTTACATATAAAATATTTTTAACAAAATTAAAAGGAAAAGGTAAAGCAGTAATTTCCTTTTATGTTTAATACAAATCCCAACTTCAAATAATTTTTTTTATGTCTAGTTTTAGGTCCATCTATTTTAATATATTTTTGATAAATACCATTAATCTCTGTTTATTTTAAATATAAAATACAAGTCGTATCTATTTTAAATGAAATATATACTTTTAAAATACAAAACCGTAATCCGCGTACAATATATGGACTGCGCCAGCATTGCGTTAACCAGATATTTTTATTAAAATTTAAATTATGTAAAGGTTTGTTTCTACTTAGCAACTGAAGATTGCGTTGTGTATGAAACTCCGAGTTGTGCTAAAAAAAAACGTGATCGATGTAAAATAACAGATTTAGAATTTTTACACAAATAGCAAATATACACGTGTTCTTCACTCTTTGGTTTTATGTACGTG